TTTAGTATCACCCAACTAGCGGACTAATGCAAATCCTGCATTTTAATTGGCTACGCTAGTAAAAGACTATTAGTAATAGTCCTCGAGTAGCGAAATTGGCGCAATCGAGCGTGACGCTTTCTTTCGTTTTATTCCCAAACAAATATTTCTTCAACTTGCATTTGCTAACTTTATTATTGCCTGTTCTGTCCGACTAGTTGGGTGATACTAAAACAATTAGACCCTTCGCCCTCAAGGGCTACGGGTCTAATTGTTAAATAGACGTCTCTATCCTTTGAGCAAATGTATCTATTCACATAGCCTATGTAGCTGGCGGGATTCGCCGCCAGAGCTCACTCGCTCGCGAATCCTGTCAGCTACGCAGCTGGCTACTATTCACAGTGAATCCTCAATTATTTATTTTTCATTTGAACACAGCATCAAGTTCGAGTTTGGTCTGGCAGCGTACGCGAACGGAGCACACAGCAACGTCATTTTCAACGCAGCCGTGGACCTCGTCATATTTGGGAAACGTCTTTACCTAGCTGTTAATTTCAACCTGAATGATCCGGTTGGCAGTCTGAAGACTGGGGCAGATACTGCAACTGAGTGGTACAAGGACAAAATGAATAACAAGGGTGCTACAGACACTGAGAAAAATTACTACGACAATCCAAATCCCTTTGCTGACTTTGAAATGTCAGGTACAAGATTAAACAAAATGTAACAGACAACCGTCGTACATAGCAGTAGACAATTATCGTGCGAAATTAAAGCTCTCGAAATATCACTTGATAGTTGGCCCGGACCCACGAGGCGGAAGGCTATATTAATCGATATTCCCCAAGATGAAGCAGGATAATTGTACAATTATTGATTTCAATGAAAAACATTTTACAACTGGGCAAACTTTGGTCATACAGACGGTTTCTTTTTACAAGATGCTGGATGAGTTTAAGAAATTACGCACAAATCTCTTGTATCTGTTTTGCTATAAGCGTACTTTAAAAATAAAAATATAAAAAATATATAACCTTTATTTACCTTCGGCAGTGTTTATAGCACGAAGGCTAGTGGGCCCGACCAAACAACTGAAACAAGTAATTCAAATTGAACACAACATTGTTAAGATAACAAGTTGGCTCTTTACAAGCGTGGCCTAGGATTTGAACTCGGGGCTACAGTGAAACAACAAATCCAGGCAGTGGTACGGTCAGAGTGGGACTCGAACCCAGGACCGCTGAATTACGAGTCCGACGCGCTGACCACTCGGCCATGCTGCCTCCTTTCATGCGTTCAGTATCTCGATTTACGGTACATTCGATTCAATTGAGTTTGTTCCGCGCTTTTTCTGTTGTTTCAGTTGTGTGTTATTATTACTGGTTCAGCAATAACTGTTATCATTCTCGGCTTGTGTTGTAGAAATATTCTTGATAGAGAATCAGCAGTCCGCGACGGATACCAGGCGCGGACCCTGTTTGTACGTGGACTCTAAGGAAGACGGCGCTCTTATTAGAGTAACAGGTTGTAATGATACTGATGAGAAACAGAATTGGGCTTATACCCTGAAAGGACAAGTTATGGTAGGTTGGATAAAAATTGACTTGCATCTAAGTGAAAGCGTGCGCAAGAAGAAAATACTCTGCCAGCTCCTTTTTTCGTTGGAGTAAAGATTGGGTTGCCCCCGAGTCTATTAATATTTTGACGAGACTCTTCATTACCTTCATATTTACGAAAACAAGATTTACACTGCAAGGACTGTGCAAAACTAAGGAAACATAAAGAGAATCCAAGCGCAATATTAGAGAGTCCTCAAGGTTGGCGTCGGCCATTGGATATTTGCCTTATACCTTCAACAGAGTTTATATTTTTAGGCAGCTTGTTTTATCATTATACGCGTCTTACAAATTACTCGAGGTAAACTTCAATCTAGTTACAATTATCCAGAACAAAACACAAGACTAAGCTTTATTTTAACACAATTGCTACTAATCTCGCAACCTGATTGGCTAATTTGCCGTTGTCAATAAGAGTCCAGACAACGCTGCTCGCGTCAATTGTCACGCAATGCCTTTTTCAGCTCGCGCTCTGAAAAAAGACATTTTCTTTGACTTTGATATTGTGCTCTTTGTCGATAAGAGTTTAGACAACGCTAAACCACATTCGATTTATAAAATTTATAAACGGTTATAATTATCCTAGTGAGCTGATAGCAATTGCTAATAGCAATTTGCAACCCAAACTACACAAAAAATTGCTCAGTATAACACTGACCCCCGAAATGGACAAGTCACGCAGAACTTTTAGATCCACGTTTACCGTAAACGGCGACCGGTTAGGGGTCACGTGACCAGAGCTAGACTTAACGTTTGAGGTTTTCGACTCGCGTTTTCAATTTTCACGTAAGTCATTTACCTCAAGCTTCATTGCCTTGAATTTTATTTCATGCCATGTGCAAATGCTGAAATCGAATACAGTAACTCTTTTCTTACAAACTGGTTATAACTTTTAGGCCAATAAGCAATTTCCTAGCCTGTTTGTTAGACGTTTGCGATAAACGTGGATCTAAAGGTCTCTAATTTGGATTCAATACGGCAAACGCGGGTTCAATTTCTACTTTTCGTAGTGATTGCGGCAACGCTGCGAGTTCATTTTAACCAGTTGCCCGGGGATGTTACACCAATTAGTATCATCGAAAACGTCACTTTTCTCGCAATGACGAAAAAAATGAAGAGGGAGCAAGCTGCCCGAAACATTACTCAGGGTAACGTCAAGTGTACAAACAGTTGATTGCAGTCGTCTTTAGAAACCTTAAGAAAACGTCTTAAAAAAGTGACGGGAACCGCACATCTCAAGTTTTTGGTTCACTAGACTTTGTTTTGATTCTTAGAACTCGTGGTCCCAGTTGTGCATCGATACAAATGGAGCTTCCAAGGGTTCAAAGCTGATACAAACCAAATGTGACCCGAGGCAGGATGATCAGAATTTCCAGTGTGACTTGGCGGTCAGATCCATCAAGAGAAGGAGGGCTGACCAGTGTTGGACGGTCGGTGAGTTAAACGGCAAAATGTGTGTCGCTTCGAAGACATACATCTATGAAACACCAGTTGCCGTCTCGTGGTTTGTTTTGCCTTTTTTATTTGAAACGTTTAGTAGTTTTCAGAAAATTCTTGCTTCCCTGTGAGTTTGTTACTTGTGTTTGATCGCTTCGCGTCTGGTCGCCTCTGCTATGTTATAGTATTAACCGGGTCAAACGCGTTGATGAGTTTACTACACGAAATATCTCCATTCATGTAGGGAACTGACCTTACAGCAATTTGTATTTTGTCCTCAGGTACGACAAGCCTGAATGGTCCTGGTTCTTTGGTTCATCTCGGTTCCTTGAAGTGTATTCACCCACAGGGGGGAGGGAACAATGTAGCAGAAGGCACCAAGTTACTCATACATAGCGGATGTAGTGAGAGCAGGTAAAACAAGTAGTCTGTGATTATTGAGCAAGAATTCGAACAGGAGAACTGATCACCCGGTTAGATGGTACAATACGATCTTTGCATAACGAATACCGGAGCTGCAAAGAGCGTGAGAAGTTGTAGTGAGATTGCCTATTTTGAGTCATGAGTGGTGTCTAGATGTAAGTTTATCTGGCTGTTTAAAAGTTTCAAAAATTTATGAGGAAAACGTTTCTGGATGGTAAGCTTACGTTTAAAAGAGAATACACAATTTGCGCTAGTTTTACGAATGTTTTCGTGTTTTGCGTAAACTAAAGTACAGCTTAGCACAACTTTTACGGAAAACGTAAACAAGCGAAATTGTGTCCGACCACATTTGCACTAAGTTTACAAAAATGTAACTTTGCGTTTTTTCTAGTAAAGCGCAACTTTACCAAAACTCTACATTGCGCGTAAAGAAACTTAAATCAAGCTCATCCATTTTAAGCTACCTTTACACCAGTTTAAAATGACATCCGACAGCGAAGACCAACTTTTACAAGCAAGCTAAACTGGCGTAAAGTTTGTTCAGCAGCTTTACGCAGAAATACGTTTCTTTTATTTTCCGTAAATTTCTTTTTTCATACTGTTGTGCATTTGTACTAATCGACTGTTGAAAGACACTTCTTGAGTAAGAACAAATCTGTACCTCCTATGTTTTCGTCTCCCATGCCAAAATGAAATAAATAGACCTCTCTGTTTAACAGATTAGAATTTGTCCTGGAAAATGGCAATCTGAAACACACTAAGAGTGGAAAATGTGTGCAGCCAATAGGAGCAGCGGCAGATGGTACAGGGCTTGGTTTATACTCGTCATGTGGTGGACATCAGTTCAGTTTCACTGCTGGAGGGTCACTACAACACGTGGGAAGTAAAAAGTGTGTCAATACGAAATCAGAAGTGAGTGTACCGTGTAGTTTTGAGATTTCTCGAGAAAAGGGATTTTTGGAACAACATCGTGCTTTTCTTTTGTAACACAAGAAACAAAGTGAACTCGTTATGGTAACGACTCACAGCTTTTGGTGAACAGTTCTTTAATTACGAAATAATATTTTGCGAGCAGTTATCACGAGCTTTAAATGCGAAACTGACAATCGACTTCATATATTACCTAAGCTATATGGGGCTGTCAAATAAATGATTCTAATTCAACACAAAATTATTTATAGAGCGACACCTCTGCCTTCGCGAGGTAGATTTTCTTGTTCAGATTGAGATTCAGCTTTGACCATAAGATTAGCAGTAATTGGCTTACCTTCTCTTTCCGTTAGATATTCCAGACTCTTGCCGTTAGATATACCTGATGTTGGCACTGAGATCATTTTAGCTTTATTTTAATTAATGGCCCCTTGTATAAAATTATTTTCACGTATTGATTTATTGGCATCGCATATCAAAAATGTGATCGTTCTGTTCCTTGATGTCTCTTTAGGCTGAGTGAGACAGGTGCAAACTCATGTAATCTTTCTTTTTTTCAGACAATGATTCCAGCTGACAGTGAAGAAATAGTGTTAAGCAGCAAGTGCGAAAATAGTGACTCCTCTCTAAACAAGGAACATCTCTTGTTTAGTTTTATTCCAAGTACGTTGATCAGTCTTTTCTGCTAGCTGGTTTATAAACATTTCCTTTCCGTAATTTACTACCAAATTTGTTCTTTCCAAAACAATCACGGACTTGTTGTTCTATTGTTGTTCAACTGCGTGGTTGACCTTCGTCTTTTTTGCGTTCCATTGCGCCTTTTCGTTCATTTGTTTCGCGGTCTTAAATTACCCCAAAACCAAATATTTCACCTGTATTTCTTACCCACAGCCGACCCGAACGTACATCTTGACAAGTGTACATATTTTGATCAAGCAAGACTGGATCAGCGCTTTGAGGTGTTGGATGAATTAGGCATAAGTATCTGTAGCAAGTTTGCCAGAAGTAAGTATCAAAATGACGAGACACTTATTCCGTCACCATGAGTTTGGTGCAACTCATAAGCGTTTTGCCCTCTGCCATAATAGGATGATACTTCTTCAATACGTAACATGGTTCACAAGGAGGGTATCATCCAGTAACTGTTAGCTGAAAGTGAAGATCGTGATTATGCACTGTATACAGTGAAGACAGTAAACCTAGCCAATAGCAAATGGAGTTGATGGGATGCAACTGTGTAAGATTCAATAAACTTGTGCAGTTGACTGAATGACAGCGTCAAATGTAATTTTCTTTTAGATCTAGCTTTCAAGAAGACAACGGAACAGTCAAGCACTGATCACAACGGGTTCAGCAGCCGAGCTGTGGATGAAAATTATTCAATTTTCTACAGAGACAAGACTTGCACACATACCAAAAGAGAAACCAAACCGTGGTGGAGAGTTGATCTCGGACAGGAGTACATCGTTACAGGTGTGTGACATAGGTGTGACAACAAACCGAGCCGTCACGAAATAGTACTACGCAACACTCGAAATCCCTGACTCGTTTGAAAATGATCGTGGTTCGAAATCAGGATGCCGGGAAAGGGAATAGCGCGATAAAATAATAACATTACCAATTCTGAGACTAGAACATTCTTATGAGGATTTGAAGGTTTCAGAAATGTTGAGAGGGTCTGGATGTGGTTTAACGGATCGATAGATGAGAGATATTGTCAGCCGAGAGATAAAACGTCTTTCTTTAAACTGATGACTGAGATCTGAGATCTATAAAATTCACTGAAAGCTGAAGAATATTAACTGATAGCTGAGAACTCGCCCTGAAAGGTTTAACTGACAACAGAGATTACATACAGCTCTCAGTTCCTTTTAAACCCTTTCAATAGAGGCTTAATCGAAAAGCATTGCCATACAGCTTTGTAATCCAATTCTCCAAATAGGCCATCTTACTCCGCGCGCTCTTTTCATTTGTGACATCCATTCTGTTCCACGATCTACTTTATGATTGACCGAAAAATTTAAATGTCACTGATCTCCATCTGCAACAGTCCTTGATGGTTTCACTCTGGGTTACAGGAAACTTGTTTGAATCTGCCCTATATAGACAAAACCTGTTTCATCTACACTATCGTTGTTTTTAACCAGATGTGATGATCGTAAATCGCTATGAATATTTCGAAAGACTGACGAACTTTGACGTAAGGGTTGGTGTCAACAAAGACAACCTACGGAACCCAACGTGCCACGATCGCGTGAGGACTGTGGGCCAGGGACAAGCTCTGAGAGTTCAGTGCGATCCACCAATCCCAGGGCGATACGTGTCAGTGCAGATGTTTGGAGAAGGAATTCTGACCATGTGTGAGGTGACAGTTTACTCCAGAGTCGGTGAGTATTAAATCTAGCCTGCTCAAGGCTTAAGAGAGGAGAAACTCATCAATGAAAATAGGAGTTTTTGAAAGTACCCTCACTGGCTCCCTGAACACGCTTTGATGAAGTTAATGCTACCCATTCTGCTCTGTCCAGTTCTGATCCATTGAACACTTTTTCGACCACCGCATTGTTTAAACATCTAAACCTAGCACTTACTCACTCACTTTAAATGTAGGAAATATTAAGAAGGAATTAAGCAGCCAATAAAGCGCACGTAATTGACCTACGAATGGCGTCGGTATCCAATTAAAAGTATCCAATTAAAAAAAAAAAACTGTTATTGGATACCTGTAATTGGGCACCCACGTGATTGCGCAGCGATTACATCCAAATAGGCATAGATACGATTAGTTCAGGTACAGTTTTTTTTAAGAGTCAGTACATCCATATCTCTCGGTCAAATAATCAACAACAGGAGTTTTCATTTTAGCGTTCGGACTAAACTGTGATTATTTTTCCAATTTAGGCGCCTTTGCAGATCTGTGTCAGCTTGATAATGGTGGCTGTGAACAGGTTTGTTATAACCTGTGTAACCTGAAAGTCAAGTGCGGCTGCTGGCCTGGTTACACTCTTACTTATGACGCCAAGACGTGTATGGGTGAGTAAAAACTAGTTTTACCACTCGGACTAAAAAAAAGGCGTTAGATGTTGTTGTCCTTATATAGTCTTGCTTTAACTGTTTATGAAAACAACAGCAACAGTGGCCAAAAAGCGTCGAGCAATGGTATCAGTATGAACTTTCAAATACTGACAATGGGTGTAGCAGTTGAAGTTCTTCTTTCTCGATCTTTTAAAATTCGGAAGTGGCTGATTATCATGTGCTGCTTGAAAAGGAAGGAGCTCACCCAATTTTGTCTTCTTATTTCTTTTAAGCATTTATTTGATTTTCTTTTTATAATAGTTGCACTTTTGGGTTAAGGATAATAGACTACGTTCGATGTCCCAATATCCTAACATGGCTCCGAGGCTTTCAGGACAAAATTGAAAAATAAAAATCTTTAAGTTTCTTTTCTCCCTCAATGTCCAAAGGACACTTGAATTGGGTACAAAGAAAACACCACCAAATATAGAAGTTTTTCCTGAAAGCCTCGAGGCCATGTTAGAATATTGTTGTATTGAACTTATTTTATTTATTTTGTTATTAACTATCGAGTACAACTTTCACAAAAGTCGGGTGCATACTAGTCATTTTGAAGTAAATTTGCCTACACATCTTTTTAATGACAATTTTTATCTGCTGTCCTTAGATAAGGACGAATGCAATGTGAACAATGGCGGTTGTGATATTGTAAATGGTTTGTGTATTAACACGCCGGGTAGCTATCATTGCCGATGTAAACAGGGATACGAGCTTAAAGAGAACAGCGAACTCGTCTGTGAAGGTAAGTAGCAACAACAGTAGGCTGAACGTTATGCAATTAAGTTCATTTCAGAGTCACCAACAGAAGTTTCTTTTTGCTGAATATCACAGCTAGAGCCTGAAATTCCAATCGCACGAATTGTGAGCACACGCCGTTGTCATTAGATTCAGTGGTTGCCAAGTAACGGGGCGTATCTTCTTGGCAACAAGCTTAAAGGTTGGAACACATGAGAAGACAAGTTCCCAAGACTAGTCCCTGCAACAAGTCGCGAGAACAAGTAGCTTCGCGACCTTCACCCTTTTGTCAAAAATCTCGCGAACTCAAACTGGTTTGAATGGAAGGGACTAGTGCCCGAGTGTGGCTACCGCTTCGTTTCCGGTTTATTTATATCCGGTTTAAGTGACATCACGTGACATTTTCCCAAGAAAATTACACGTGTTTTGATTTTCGTTTTGGGGGTTTGTAGTTTTGTAGTTATATTCAGAGTTATTAGTCCAAACAGTTCTTTAACATGCCTTTTTTCACGTTGCCAAGATTAATTCCTGTTTTTAGATCTTTTTGCACCTTAGCAAGGTTAGCTCATGTTTCTGTACCTTTTTGTATGTTGGCGACGGCAGTGCTTTTGGATGCACGTTGCAAATCTTCTGAAATTAAATCAGCTAACGACAGTCACACCGCGACTTGTCCCTCAAAACCCTCCGTGTGAACTTCTGGTGTGAGAAGTCCAAGTGACCAGTCCCTACTGTAAACTCTTCAAAGGAGTTGTCCTAGGGCCAGTCCAGGGGACTTGTTCCCATTTGTGTGTCGACAATTAAGTTATAGTTTTGGAGCGCCTGCGCTCTTGTTTTCGAATGGAAACGTTTTTTTTTTTCTTTTTCAGAAAGGATACGTCGGTTTGAACATAAATATATTTATTTAACAAGAATTAGTCAAAGAAATTAAAAATCGGATGTAAACGTTAACATAACAGTTAAATGACAAGGAAAAAAATAACTAAGATATATCTCAAGATATATCTTAAGCGAACGCAAAATTAGAATTGACTGTGGTGAACCCAGCCCTGATAAAAGTTTGGTGTATTTTTATGAAATGTTTTTTTTTAGATACAACAAGGAAAACCGGTTAACTCTATCTTAACCAGCGCGTTTAATCCTTAACTTTGCTCACGAGTTTATTTCGCATTTTTAGATTACAACGAATGTAACCTGAATAACGCGGGATGTGAACAGGTTTGTAACAACACTGCAGGAAGCTTCAACTGCGATTGCAGAGCAGGATTTAAACTTAAAGCTGACAAAATGGGCTGTGAAGGTAAGAAACACGCCATGTTTTGTGAAGAGAAAAGACCTTGGGCCGCCAGATGAGAGAAACGTTTCTCAGCTGGCGCAGGTGGGCAACAGAATAACCCAATTCTGATCTCTTAACTACGTTCTGCTCTAGAAAGTTAAGTTACAAGTTCTAGGTGGTTCTTTATTACTACCTCACATGAAACTTTAGGAAGACCCTATGTCTCTCTTTCGTCTACCGTCAATAGAGATTGTTCTACGGATTCACTTTTTCTGGCAATCCATAGTATGTTATTCATGTCTTAGATTTCAGTAAGGAAGTTATGACGATAAAGCAAGGGTGTTAACAGTAGGTTCTACTGTCATTTTAGACATCAATGAATGTGATACAGACAAAGGTGGCTGTGACCATAAATGTACCAATTATGAAGGTGGATATTACTGTACCTGCCCGACTGGATATCGACTCATGGACGACGACAGAGGATGTGAAGGTATACCTTCATTTTGTCTCGGAATCATGTAAACCATAGATTCTTATTTACGTTTCGACTTATTCGGCCATTCCTTCTTGAAGTCACGGTTGATGAAACCACACGAAGCCCCCCTCTCCGGCATCACTGAGACTTGGGTTTGGACTTCGGACCTGGCGAAATATTGTAATGCGTGGCTCCCTAGTTTAAATTTTAGCTTCTTCAAAAAACCAACATGATGCATCCTCCTGTTATTATTCTAGTTATGTTATTACTGGTTGGATATTTATAATGCGAAGAACGTTTGTACCACAGAGATTTATTGCCCCGCGTTGGAAGCTCCATTCCGTGGTCTGATCACCCCAGCAACTTGCACGGATGAACGTGCAAATATCAAACGTAACACTGTCTGTACATACGGATGTGTTGCTGGACACAAGATCGCGGGCGGAGATCTATCCGTAACCTGTCAGATCGATGGATTATGGGAAGGAACTGTACCTTATTGTAAACGTAGGTGCTATACTTGTTAGAAGTAAGATAATTTTTAATTTTGCCTGCGTACGCGAGCAGATTCATGCCGCTGAATAGTAGAAACAAAGGCTACGAGAGCCGTCTCAATCACTCCGTAGGAAAAAAGATGGCGGTTGTACATTTTACCACAATGCCATGCAAACCTTACTCAGCTCATAAAGTACAAAGAATCGAAAGCCACATTTTTGCAATAGTTGTCCCTGTGATAATGACACTGTGTATGCTAGGCTTGAAGATTTTAAAACTTTTCTGTACGTTTTTGTGAGCGTTGTTTAAGTTCTCTTGCGCTACGAATTATGAGTAGATGTACCAGTCGCCATCTTTTTTTCCTACGGTGCATTGCAACCAGAGCGTCCTAATAGGACGCTTTCGCAAACATTTTCTGTCTGCTGGGCTTAGCTTACGTTGCTTTTCACTGGGATGAAAAGAGTGTTAAATATTGATAAAAAGCGTTCGTAACATCGGTAAACCTCAACAGATGAACCATCTCAAAACTGGTGAAATTTGATGCCCGTTAAAAATGGCGGAAAACAGTTAATTCCAACAGAACATAGTCTGAGATCGCTGTATTGATAATTTCTGGGGCATTTTTTTGTCTCATTTTTCGTTTTACCGTTGTAGTAACTTACAGTGGAATCCCGATTTTTCGAACCTCCAACGGAAACGAAAATTGGCTCGAGAAATCGGGCGTAAAATTGCAGTGTTCGACTGAGGAGGGAAAATGACTCTTGGTTTGAGTTATCGGGAGGTTCGAAAAACTGAGGGTTCGAGGAATCGGGATTCCACTGTATTTACAATAGTTTATTTTGGATTTTTACACGGGGCAAATTTCTGTTCACCTGTTGTCCTGATAAACATGATTAAAGCAAAAAAAAAAGTAAATAAATAATAATAATAAAAATAAAAAAAACAAAAATAAATTAAACGTAAGCGCAAATTCTATTCATGCTTACATGTATTTTCTGTCGGAAAATCGCGAAAAAACGCGAAAATTTGATGACACAAAAGCTTCGTTTTATAAGGCAAGTGGTGGTTGCTATTTTGTCCCTTTTCATTTCTCCTCAGCGGTCGTGTGTTCAAAGCTGACTGTACCTGACAATGGTGGAGTGGTCCCATCATCATGCTCACAAACAGACGTCGAGTACGGTACACGATGTGTCTTCTACTGCAATGATGGATATGAACTAAGCGGTCCCAGGTATACCGGATGTCAAAATGACACTTCATGGACGGAGATCGCTCCTCTGTCTTGTGTCAGAGGTCAGTTTAGCCGTGTGCGCTGCTTACTTTTACGCCGCAATTTCGGAACGAATACAATAGCACTCACAAGAAAACCTCAAAATTTGATTCCTTTATTAAAATTGATTTGATTAAGATGTTTATTTGAGAACGGTTCGGGTTATGTATTGTAATTAAATATGTAGGAAATGTGTTTTAGTTAATTTATGTACTCTAGGTAAATTAGTAAATATATATATTAAGAGGAAGTAGACTCAAATTAAAGCCCCGGCCAAANATCTGCAACAGTCCTTGATGGTTTCACTCTGGGTTACAGGAAACTTGTTTGAATCTGCCCTATATAGACAAAACCTGTTTCATCTACACTATCGTTGTTTTTAACCAGATGTGATGATCGTAAATCGCTATGAATATTTCGAAAGACTGACGAACTTTGACGTAAGGGTTGGTGTCAACAAAGACAACCTACGGAACCCAACGTGCCACGATCGCGTGAGGACTGTGGGCCAGGGACAAGCTCTGAGAGTTCAGTGCGATCCACCAATCCCAGGGCGATACGTGTCAGTGCAGATGTTTGGAGAAGGAATTCTGACCATGTGTGAGGTGACAGTTTACTCCAGAGTCGGTGAGTATTAAATCTAGCCTGCTCAAGGCTTAAGAGAGGAGAAACTCATCAATGAAAATAGGAGTTTTTGAAAGTACCCTCACTGGCTCCCTGAACACGCTTTGATGAAGTTAATGCTACCCATTCTGCTCTGTCCAGTTCTGATCCATTGAACACTTTTTCGACCACCGCATTGTTTAAACATCTAAACCTAGCACTTACTCACTCACTTTAAATGTAGGAAATATTAAGAAGGAATTAAGCAGCCAATAAAGCGCACGTAATTGACCTACGAATGGCGTCGGTATCCAATTAAAAGTATCCAATTAAAAAAAAAAAACTGTTATTGGATACCTGTAATTGGGCACCCACGTGATTGCGCAGCGATTACATCCAAATAGGCATAGATACGATTAGTTCAGGTACAGTTTTTTTTAAGAGTCAGTACATCCATATCTCTCGGTCAAATAATCAACAACAGGAGTTTTCATTTTAGCGTTCGGACTAAACTGTGATTATTTTTCCAATTTAGGCGCCTTTGCAGATCTGTGTCAGCTTGATAATGGTGGCTGTGAACAGGTTTGTTATAACCTGTGTAACCTGAAAGTCAAGTGCGGCTGCTGGCCTGGTTACACTCTTACTTATGACGCCAAGACGTGTATGGGTGAGTAAAAACTAGTTTTACCACTCGGACTAAAAAAAAGGCGTTAGATGTTGTTGTCCTTATATAGTCTTGCTTTAACTGTTTATGAAAACAACAGCAACAGTGGCCAAAAAGCGTCGAGCAATGGTATCAGTATGAACTTTCAAATACTGACAATGGGTGTAGCAGTTGAAGTTCTTCTTTCTCGATCTTTTAAAATTCGGAAGTGGCTGATTATCATGTGCTGCTTGAAAAGGAAGGAGCTCACCCAATTTTGTCTTCTTATTTCTTTTAAGCATTTATTTGATTTTCTTTTTATAATAGTTGCACTTTTGGGTTAAGGATAATAGACTACGTTCGATGTCCCAATATCCTAACATGGCTCCGAGGCTTTCAGGACAAAATTGAAAAATAAAAATCTTTAAGTTTCTTTTCTCCCTCAATGTCCAAAGGACACTTGAATTGGGTACAAAGAAAACACCACCAAATATAGAAGTTTTTCCTGAAAGCCTCGAGGCCATGTTAGAATATTGTTGTATTGAACTTATTTTATTTATTTTGTTATTAACTATCGAGTACAACTTTCACAAAAGTCGGGTGCATACTAGTCATTTTGAAGTAAATTTGCCTACACATCTTTTAAATGACAATTTTTATCTGCTGTCCTTAGATAAGGACGAATGCAATGTGAACAATGGCGGTTGTGATATTGTAAATGGTTTGTGTATTAACACGCCGGGTAGCTATCATTGCCGATGTAAACAGGGATACGAGCTTAAAGAGAACAGCGAACTCGTCTGTGAAGGTAAGTAGCAACAACAGTAGGCTGAACGTTATGCAATTAAGTTCATTTCAGAGTCACCAACAGAAGTTTCTTTTTGCTGAATATCACAGCTAGAGCCTGAAATTCCAATCGCACGAATTGTGAGCACACGCCGTTGTCATTAGATTCAGTGGTTGCCAAGTAACGGGGCGTATCTTCTTGGCAACAAGCTTAAAGGTTGGAACACATGAGAAGACAAGTTCCCAAGACTAGTCCCTGCAACAAGTCGCGAGAACAAGTAGCTTCGCGACCTTCACCCTTTTGTCAAAAATCTCGCGAACTCAAACTGGTTTGAATGGAAGGGACTAGTGCCCGAGTGTGGCTACCGCTTCGTTTCCGGTTTATTTATATCCGGTTTAAGTGACATCACGTGACATTTTCCCAAGAAAATTACACGTGTTTTGATTTTCGTTTTGGGGGTTTGTAGTTTTGTAGTTATATTCAGAGTTATTAGTCCAAACAGTTCTTTAACATGCCTTTTTTCACGTTGCCAAGATTAATTCCTGTTTTTAGATCTTTTTGCACCTTAGCAAGGTTAGCTCATGTTTCTGTACCTTTTTGTATGTTGGCGACGGCAGTGCTTTTGGATGCACGTTGCAAATCTTCTGAAATTAAATCAGCTAACGACAGTCACACCGCGACTTGTCCCTCAAAACCCTCCGTGTGAACTTCTGGTGTGAGAAGTCCAAGTGACCAGTCCCTACTGTAAACTCTTCAAAGGAGTTGTCCTAGGGCCAGTCCAGGGGACTTGTTCCCATTTGTGTGTCGACAATTAAGTTATAGTTTTGGAGCGCCTGCGCTCTTGTTTTCGAATGGAAACGTTTTTTTTTTTCTTTTTCAGAAAGGATACGTCGGTTTGAACATAAATATATTTATTTAACAAGAATTAGTCAAAGAAATTAAAAATCGGATGTAAACGTTAACATAACAGTTAAATGACAAGGAAAAAAATAACTAAGATATATCTCAAGATATATCTTAAGCGAACGCAAAATTAGAATTGAATGTGGTGAACCCAGCCCTGATAAAAGTTTGGTGTATTTTTATGAAATGTTTTTTTTTTAGATACAACAAAGAAAACCGGTTAACTCTATCTTAACCAGCGCATTTAATCCTAAACTTTGCTCACGAGTTTATTTCGCATTTTTAGATTACAACGAATGTAACCTGAATAACGCGGGATGTGAACAGGTTTGTAACAACACTGCAGGAAGCTTCAACTGCGATTGCAGAGCAGGATTTAAACTTAAAGCTGACAAAATGGGCTGTGAAGGTAAGAAACACGCCATGTTTTGTGAAGAGAAAAGACCTTGGGCCGCCAGATGAGAGAAACGTTTCTCAGCTGGCGCAGGTGGGCAACAGAATAACCCAATTCTGATCTCTTAACTACGTTCTGCTCTAGAAAGTTAAGTTACAAGTTCTAGGTGGTTCTTTATTACTACCTCACATGAAACTTTAGGAAGACCCTATGTCTCTCTTTCGTCTACCGTCAATAGAGATTGTTCTACGGATTCACTTTTTCTGGCAATCCATAGTATGTTATTCATGTCTTAGATTTCAGTAAGGAAGTTATGACGATAAAGCAAGGGTGTTAACAGTAGGTTCTACTGTCATTTTAGACATCAATGAATGTGATACAGACAAAGGTGGCTGTGACCATAAATGTACCAATTATGAAGGTGGATATTACTGTACCTGCCCGACTGGATATCGACTCATGGACGACGACAGAGGATGTGAAGGTACACCTTCATTTTGTCTCGGAATCATGTAAACCATAGATTCTTATTTACGTTTCGACTTATTCGGCCATTCCTTCTTGAAGTCACGGTTGATGAAACCACACGAAGCCCTCCTCTCCGGCATCACTGACTTGGATTTGGACTTCGGACCTGGCGAAATATTGTAATGCGTGGCTCCCTAGTTTAAATTTTAGCTTCTTCAAAAAACCAACATGATGCATCCTCCTGTTATTATTCTAGTTATGTTATTACTGGTTGGATATTTATAATGCGAAGAACGTTTGTACCACAGAGATTTATTGACCCGCGTTGGAAGCTCCATTCCGTGGTCTGATCACCCCAGCAACCTGCACAGATGAACGTGCAAATATCAAACGTAATACTGTCTGTACATACGGATGTGTTGCTGGACACAACATCGCGGGCGGAGATCTATCCGTAACCTGTCAGATCGATGGATTATGGCAAGGAACTGTACCTTATTGTAAACGTAGGTGCTATACTTGTTAGAAGTAAGATAATTTTTAATTTTGCCTGCGTACGCGAGCAGATTCATGCCGCTGAATAGTAGAAACAAAGGCTACGAGAGCCGTCTCAATCACTCCGTAGGAAAAAAGATGGCGGTTGTACATTTTACCACAATGCCATGCAAACCTTACTCAGCTCATAAAGTACAAAGAATCGAAAGCCACATTTTTGCAATAGTTGTCCCTGTGATAATGACACTGCGTATGCTAGGCTTGAAGATTTTAAAACTTTTCTGTACGTTTTTGTGAGCGTTGTTTAAGTTCTCTTGCGCTACGAATTATGAGTAGATGTACCAGTCGCCATCCTTTTTTCCTACGGTGCATTGCAACCAGAGCGTCCTAATAGGACGCTTTCGCAAACATTTTCTGTCTGCTGGGCTTAGCTTACGTTGCTTTTCACTGGGATGAAAAGAGTGTTAAATATTGATAAAAAGCGTTCGTAACATCGGTAAACCTCAACAGATGAACCATCTCAAAACTGGTGAAATTTGATGCCCGTTAAAAATGGCGGAAAACAGTTAATTCCAACAGAACATAGTCTGAGATCGCTGTATTGATAATTTCTGGGGCATTTTTTTGTCTCATTTTTCGTTTTACCGTTGTAGTAACTTACAGTGGAATCCCGATTTTTCGAACCTCCAACGGAAACGAAAATTGGCTCGAGAAATCGGGCGTAAAATTGCAGTGTTCGACTGAGGAGGGAAAATGACTCTTGGTTTGAGTTATCGGGAGGTTCGAAAAACTGAGGGTTCGAGGAATCGGGATTCCACTGTATTTACAATAGTTTATTTTGGATTTTTACACGGGGCAAATTTCTGTTCACCTGTTGTCCTGATAAACATGATTAAAGCAAAAAAAAAAGTAAATAAATAATAATAATAAAAATAAAAAAAACAAAAATAAATTAAACGTAAGCGCAAATTCTATTCATGCTTACATGTATTTTCTGTCGGAAAATCGCGAAAAAACGCGAAAATTTGATGACACAAAAGCTTCGTTTTATAAGGCAAGTGGTGGTTGCTATTTTGTCCCTTTTCATTTCTCCTCAGCGGTCGTGTGTTCAAAGCTGACTGTACCTGACAATGGTGGAGTGGTCCCATCATCATGCTCACAAACAGACGTCGAGTACGGTACACGATGTGTCTTCTACTGCAATGATGGATATGAACTAAGCGGTCCCAGGTATACCGGATGTCAAAATGACACTTCATGGACGGAGATCGCTCCTCTGTCTTGTGTCAGAGGTCAGTTTAGCCGTGTGCGCTGCTTACTTTTACGCCGCAATTTCGGAACGAATACAATAGCACTCACAAGAAAACCTCAAAATTTGATTCCTTTATTAAAATTGATTTGATTAAGATGTTTATTTGAGAACGGTTCGGGTTATGTATTGTAATTAAATATGTAGGAAATGTGTTTTAGTTAATTTATGTACTCTAGGTAAATTAGTAAATATATATATTAAGAGGAAGTAGACTCAAATTAAAGCCCCGGCCAAACGATCGCAACATTTCAACACACTGACATATCCCAAAGTTGTTGGCCCAGCGTTTGAAAGCCCCGGCCAAACGATCGCAACATTTGAACGCAACATATCCCAACATTGTTGGGTGCAACATGTTGCGTGAGTTTGGCCACCACGTTGCAACGTGTTGGGTATTGAAAATCGAACTAGTGCGCATGCCCGGGCGCAACACTGTTGGACAGACCCAATCTCGTTCCCAGAGTCTTCGTTCCCCTTGACCAGCGGTCGGAAAACGAGAGCTCTGGGAGCAACCATTTCAGGCATGCGCCATAGATGCAGACTGCGTAGTGAAACCGGGTGGGCAGAATCACCAGAATTCGGTTATTTCAAAATGGTTGCTCCCAGAGCTCTCGTTTTCCGACCGCTGGTCAAGGGGAAATGGAAGACTCTGGGAACGAGATTGGGACGGACCTGTCCAAACGAGGACAAAATCATGAAACATCCACAACTGTTGCGTGAAAAATTTGACCAGTTTCAAATTCTAGCCAACATTTCGCAACATGTCGCAACATGTCGCAACAGGGTGGCCAAACGTACGCAACATGTTACCCCCAACAGTGTTGCGATATGTTGCGTTGAAATGTTGCAATCGTTTGGCTGGGGCTTAATATATTGTAGATAAGCAGTGTACCGTTCTCAGTGCATTGTAAGTAAAATAAGTAATCAAGCATTTTAATCTATTGTCATCAATTTTTGATTCCTTTGATTCAAAACCTTGCTTCATTCCCCGTATCAGAGGTAATCACGCACTCCAAGAAAGCCCAGCTAGTTGAATCAAATAGTTATTTTTTGTGTTGTTATAGCACTTTGACTTTAGATGTCGCAGAGAATAAAAAAATTGTTGACAAGGTTTATATATAGGTGTAGGAAATTCCTTAGACGTCTCACATTTTTTAATTGTCTCATTTTACAGTCTACACGGATCCATGGATCGCGTGTCCAATCGACAGAGTAGAAGAACTTGAGCCCGACAAGTCCACAGTGGTGCTTGGATACAAGTGGCAGCTTCCACGAACCAATATGAAGAACGTGACAGTGTCGCCTAGCAACTATGATGAGAATTATCCCTTCCCTGTTGGTAACCACCGGGTCACGTGGATGGGAACAAGTGACAGTGGAACACAGATAAGCTGTAGCTTCCATATCTCCGTGAATGGTGAGCTGTTATTGCAAAGTTATTTTGAGCTCGTACTTCTAAGTGCTTTAAAAAGATGGTTAACTTAGCATGGGTGACCAAATGCGAGACTCCCCGTTATTGTAGAGAAAGCGACAAAGATAAAAACTGGTTAAAAAGATACCGAAAATGGACAACTTTTAGTTTTAAAAAGATAAAAAATGTAAAACTTTATAATAAAACGTTTCGGTCTCTCGACCTTCGTCAGTTACAAAAAGTGCATAAACAACTCACAACTTAAATACGATTTTCACAACAATGAATGATAAACAGATTACGTTACAGATGGAAAGAAAACAATGGGTGTGCAAAAAACGTAAATCAGCTACAACAAGTTAGACTGGATATAATTAAACTAGTGACAAAAGTTATGTAATTGCCTCAGCGCAACAGGTTCCCCAATGGGGGCCTCCGAATCACTACACATATCGGTATCATAACAAAATCCCCAAGAAGGGCCGCTAAACAGTAAGTAATTATTTCCCAGCTGGGAGCCTTTGAATGACCCAGTTAGTATAAAAATAACAGAATCCCCAAAGGGGGCCCCTGAGTGCTGAAACGACCACAATTAAGGACCATCATTATTTATTTAGTGCGTACGCAACGACTAGCTAAAAAAAAAAAAAAAAAAAAAAA